ATCATTTGAGCTATCTGTTTTCGCTGATGAATTTACTGAATTCACTGTTACTGCCTTCAGTGGTTCACTTTTAACTTTATGTGATGATTTCAATTCATGTGACTGTAGCTTCCTTTCTTCACTAGATCACCAAAAAGTAGTAGATTTTACTACTCGTTTGGATACTCATCTAGACTTCTTTTTCAATAATGGTGTGGGTACATATGTGACTCGTAAACGTGCTCAATCTTCTAACTCGGAACACTGTATAATTCGTGGAAAACATGGAGAGAGTACACCCTTACACCTTACCAAAAAAGTCAAATATATTAATTATTCAGGAGAAAATATACAAATTCTGAAAAACATATTTGGTACGACTAACTGGGAATTATTTTCAGATGGCTCACTGGAAAACATCACTGATGTTATCACTTGTTATCTTACATCCTCACAACTAAAACAACTACGTAGAGTAAAAGAAAGAATGCACAAGGGGAAAAACACTATTGAAGTTCGTAAGCTAAATGGTCTAGAGATTAGACATCTCAACTCTGTGTTTACTCAGAAACTCTCATCTTGTAAAAACTCTTCAAGTAAGTGGAGACTTTAAAGAAATTTCAGGTGAGAGGCAGATTAGGGTCAATAACTAGCTGAATATTTATGACTTAAATAAGTGTAAATGTTAAGCTGTTAACTTTAGCCCGAGACATGGACAGCACCTATACACTATTTTAGGATCCCATAATGCTTGTGTCATTGGAGACTCTTTGGTAAACACAGTGTCGAAGGTCAATTATCTTGGTGTTACCTTTTCCTCTGATCTCTCTTGGTCTTTTCATGTTTTACTGTAATCGTAGAAAGTTTTCCGTCTGACTTACTACATAAAGAGACTGCACGTTTTTGGGATTACTCGACATTTACTCTTGGAATTTGTCAATTCCTGCATATTACCTATTATTCTTTACTCCTCTCCATTATTCTTTCCATGGCTTTTGAGAAAAGACTGTGGTGTATTGCGGAAAGTGCTGAAGGCAGTTAGTAGGGTGTGTGGTGAATCTTTTGAGGTCATTATTAATATTGTTGTGGATAGATATCTAATGTCTTGCAAACTCCTGGCAGGTGTTATCTAGCCATCCATTTCACTCATATCTTTCTCTTTGTATATATTCTGGTAGAACGAGACGTAAATACATTGAAATCCATGCACTTAAGCAAAGATGTAAAAGTCCTATAATACCTTTCCTAGCAAATATACTCAGTGACGAACAGGTTGTTGGTGTTAACCTAGTCAATAACCTATATTCTCAAGCTTGTTTCAAATTTGTTAAGTTGTACAGACTCAGATTTTTTCCCCACCTTTTTTCATTTCCGTTTTTGTTTTTTTTTTTGGTAAAAAAGGCTGTTGAAATACCTCGTGCTGATAATCCTATATTGTACCAAAATGTAATATTGAATAAAGCCATTAATAGTAATAATAATAATAATAGTAGCAATAAAAATTTCCGTAATATTATTGAAAATAGAACAGATAACCGTCTAGGTTATGTGTGATATGATCATTGTTAGTTGAATATATTGTTTTCGGTGTGTTGTCGCTTGAATGCTTTTGCAAATTAGGGTTTATTATAACTTGAAACATTTTTCTGTTAAAAATTTAAAATTCTGTAAATGAAAATCATTTTTTCCTGTAGTTTATAATGTTCCCATGTTACTAGTTGCGTACTTTCTATTATGATATGTATACACAGAAACTTTCTTTAACGACTTAGATGTTTTAATGTACATTGAGATATTACCTATTTTAATGTTCGCTGAATTGTGTAAGGTGATCAAATTATCCAACTGTTATGCTGAGTCTTGTAGATTATCTCTGATTGGTTACTGATTAGTCTGATGTACGAAGTATCAGGGATCAGATAGATTATGGGACGTAAAAATAAATTGAAAACTGTTCGAGTGTACTCATGATTAGTTTGATAAATCTTTGATGCCTTATTATTTTGTTTATCATTTCTTTCCATCCCAATAATCAGTTTCTTTGAATCATTTAAGCGTATTCAGACTCATAAAAATCGTTTACGTAGAGGAATTTTAATTAGCTTAGGATCCATTGTGAGCCAAGTAACAGTGAACAAATATTTTGTCCTAGTATTTTTGGAACTCAACGCTGGATTTTAAGTTCTTGGCTTTAACTTTTAACACAGTCGTTAGCTCTCACTCTTAAATAGTTCTGTACCAGGACGAAACAAATTTCCAATATCTCTTAATTTTCAATGGTTAATGGCTGATGTCAATCGACAAAGAAAATCATTTTAAAAATCAAACTAATGTCTACAAATATTTCATGTAAACAGCGTAGTTCTGTGAAATGAAGCACTGTGAACCATAGGATCAGTGGTTCAATAGGTAAAGCATACAACTTTCAACCACAGAGTAGTGGGTTCGAAACGTGCTTTGCCTACTTTAATTTAAGAGACCACTAGCTTCATACTAACAGGATCTGAATGCTAAGTTTGTAAACTCTTATTTAGTTACCAATTCACATTGAATCAAAATAAATGTCACATATTATTCCTGTTTAAACGGTGCATCTATGTAACAACGGTTTTTGAATGTTGTTTGCTGAACACTTCTAATTTATATTGTTTGTCGTTTTCACTGTATCTTAAATATTTAGAGTTTATATCCCTAAAATACTAGAACTTTATCTATAAAATTTTTGTTTCTGTTATAACCGTCTACTGTTTCACAGAAAGCATGTTTCATTAAAATCGCAAACCTATCTAAGTTATAAAACCATTGAAAACTGGAAGGACTGCATAGATTGGTTCATGATTTCAATAGCATTCGACAGTCTGTACGTGCATGTTCTTTATTTCCATAATACAGATCACATATTTCTATAACTAGTGAAGGGTGTATTAGAAGATATATCAGTAGTTGGTGGGTAGTTAAAAGCCTTTTTTTCATAATGTTACATGATGTCTGTACTATGATTAAGTCTTCCATACCTTGACTATAGGTTTTCTTATGTGAATGAATTTATAGTATTGTAGGGTGATCGGTAGAATAATAAAAACTACTTATCTTACTGGTACTATTTCTATGTTAACAAAGTAGAATTGCAAGGTGGGAGTTGGAAATCAAAGTGATAGAGTCTACTATTCTTAGTATTTGTTTAGTCATCTTTAGAGGTATTTGCTGAAATTCTATCTCAATTAAATTTGACCAGTTATAAAATATAGTTATCAGTTTCCGAGTAGTTTCGTTTTAACTCAGATTGATGAACAAGGTTATACTTGATTTACCAGTTTATGAAATGTATCTCAGATGAAAAGTTATAGACAAGATATTATTTTTGATTTAACTAGGATTCATTCAGTCTTTGTTGTTTGAGATCACTTCAGATTGTACAGTAATAAGTTTTTAAAAATGATTGTTGAATATATTCGGAGTTACTACGAATATGTAAAGTAACATATATAAGCCTTTAAAAATATATAGTACTTGTAAGTCGCAATGTGGAAAATTAGTTTAATTTAGGAGTAGGAAAAACATCTTTAACTGTTAAACTACTTCATTTAGTTCCGAAAACGTAAACGAATGTAGCTTTAACCGACTTTGATTACGGGTTTGATGTACCTTAATTTCAGGTGTTTATAAGTGCATGTGTTTCCTTAATTTTCTACTGATCGTTAATTAATGAGAGACTGATTATTATTTCACTCTTTAAAAACGTTTGTAACACAAAATAACATTTGATTATCTGATATATTCATACTGATTTTGATAACTTACATCGTTTAGTAACACATTTCATCAGTTAATGAATATGCTTGACAGTATTACCTCTTCTGAAAAAAATATTTGAATGATGACCATTTACTATTATTCGGTATTGATTGAGTCTCAAAAACCGACATCTAGATGTCCTTATGAAAAAGTGTGTGATTAGAGGGGAAAACCAATTTATGTGCCGTAGTAATTAGACACTAATCACATTGCGAAACGATTGCGGTATATTATGAACTCAATAGAACTTAAAAGGCATCGACATGATTACGATTTTATAATAAATTAAACAACCGCTGATTTTTTAACGGATTCATTGTATTAGGTCTTGATGTGAACCTTTCGAAGTCTCCTGAAACTATGACTAGACTAGCAGTCATAAATTATTATTATTATTATTATTATTATTATTAGCTTGATTCAATATTATATTATTTGGTACAAAATCGAATTCTCAGCATAAAGTATTTCAACATATTTACGTTTCTTATTTCTTCGTTGCTCCTGATGATAAACATTCAGTGATCGCCAGTTGGATGTCAGCAGTTCAGTCAATCGACATATGAATAATGTATATCCTTTTTGTTGCATGTTCCCAGCAAACACGACATCTTTGATTAAACCTTTTCTAACTTTTACAGCGAAAGGTTGTACAGTTTTCAGAAACGCACCGGAATAGGTTGTGTGCTTAATAGCCATAATGATGTATTAAAACAAACAATATTAGATAACTTGTTGAAATATATAGATGACGGGAAACAGGTAGCCCAGATGTTTAAGCAGGCCGCCCGAAAAAAAAATCTCTCGTCAACAATGTTCGTAGTTATTCAGGTAAATACTGAGCTGTTTTATCACATGGTAAATCTCTATCAAGTTTGAATAGTGATCTCTTGTCCTTATACTCCAATCAATTTAGAAACCTTGATACCCAAAAAGAAGACAAAATGTTGCCAATATGATCCAAGCTTTATTTCAAGACGATCTATGCTTTTCAGCCGTTGCTAACACCATGGTCTAACTTCACATTCATTTATTCGACTATTTCATCAAACAGGCTATAAATTCTTTAAAGTTACCTCTATTGCAAAAGTTGTTACCATTTTATTGTTTACCAATTTGACAAATGCAATGGTAAAACATTATTTTATTAGCTCACATTCTTACAAGTCTATATAACCTATTCAGTATGTGCTTTTGTATTACTGTTTATTAAAAATAAAACGCAGGCATACGTATGTTAGATGGTTACATAACGGATAGAGTTGAAGCGGAAACACTACATTTTCGACAAGATTACATTGATATTTACTCAGGTAGTTGGGGACCTGAAGACTCAGGGAAATTATATGAAGGTCCCGGTATACTTGCTCAATCTGCATTCCAACAAGGTGTAGTTACGGTAAGTTCATTTGGTTTAGTTATAATAAATATTGTTTCTTTTTATCATACTATACATATTTTTAAAAATGTTTTTGATATACATCATAACTAAAATTTCTTCACTTATTCCGTCTATAAAGAATCTAATTGTCCTCATGTTTAATACAGAGTTTTTTATGAGACTATTTAGCCAACTAGGACACTATACAAATAACATATGCAATTGGATAATGACGAAGATGTGTAAATCATACACACAAGTGCATGTAAGAAGAAACCGTATATAACGAATGAGATTTTCTATTTAAATCTTATGTAATTTCTTTCATCTAAGGTTTTATAATGCATTTGTATACTCAACTATTTCTTTAAGGTATTTTATATTACTTTCAAAAATGTACATAATGCACCATCAAACGACGTGATTTTAAGTAATCTAAAAATCCAAGTGTATCTGTGTGCCAGCGCAAACTGTCTGTATATGATTTATCAAGTTGCGACGATATAATAAATTCTGAATTTCCATACTCGACAATACATATTTATTTCTGTGCTAAAGGAGAATATATTTTTAAACGATTTGCATGTGGAATACCTTTTACCATGATGGTTTTATCGAAGCTAATTTCCAATTAATAATACTCCGTTGTACCGACATTGAAATATCTATTGGGCCGTGAACTAGAAAAATGTTCGCTGCTTTTAGTCAACCAGAAGATAAGCGAGAATGTTATACTTTTTACTTGATTAGTTAGTATCCTTTTTATCTATCGATTTCTAATATTAAAATTGCTAATTCTGTCCTGACTGGTTCATCGGGACAGTACGGATTGGTCTACAAATATCTGACATCATCAGAACGGATTGTCTCTTCGTTTGGTAGAACCGGAGACTAAAGTAAATAATGATACCTCCATAATCAGTGCATCAGTATTTTATACGCTGCTGTAGGTTCAGTACAATGGTATAAGTGCTTCAAAGATATATGCCATTAAATTCCAATCGAACCACCATTGTTTTTTCCTTTTTCATAATGGTAAAGAGAAGTTTGTTGAAAAAATTACCAGAAAATAAAATTATAATAAACAAAGAAACGTTGAAAAGGGAATGTCTAATCTGTCCATTTGATTAACTGTAGTAGGACTTTTCGGAAAACTTTTTCTCCAAATATCGAAACCAAAAATTTGAAACATGCATTCTTATATTCGCGGAATATGTTTAACTAAGTATGATGATACACAGCGACCATCGTAGTGTTTTCATGGGGCTTCCGAGATATGAATGTAATCTCAAGTCATTATTTACAAGTGTTATTTCGTCAGCCCTCTATCAGGTATATATACTTAACAATGTTAAAGCAACGTGACACGCTTAGAAACCTCTCGTCATCAGTATAAAATGTCAAAGATGAGAATGGTTTAGTCGTATGCATTTAAATGTATGTCCATTTGTTTTGGTTGTTGCATTTAATTTGTCCCATAATACTCAGGCTGTTTTAAAATTCTGCAAACTAACTGAAGTTGGAATTGCATCATTGAATATCACCCTAGTGCTTTTAATGGTTACTTGTTCTCAGCGATACATGAAAGTCTCAGGCTTAATTCCTGGTGGGGTCGTTAGCGGGCACTTCTGAGTAGTCATATACTGGAATAAAATAGCTGTCGAGTCCCTCTGATTTTTAATGGTGCCTCAAGTGAGATCAATCTGTAACACATCACCTAGACATTAAACTAATCTCCATTACACTTCAAGTAAACCTACTGTATATCATTCTTGTCTGTTTAGGATAATCAAGATATCTTAGCCCCGAAATACTTGATTCTTTTAACAGTTTTTTTTCTTGAATTCAAGCTATTTCTGTTGTCTCAATTATATCTGACTACTGGTAGGAAGAGAAAGTTAACCAAACGAAAGAGAAAAATTCCCACTGTATAATAAATTTTCCTATGTCGTTCGTCTGTTAATAGGTAAATTAAATGTTAATTAAAGTAGCACCAGTTTCGGTTTTTTGTTATGCCTTCATGGTCTCCAGCTGAAGGCCATATCACCAACACTTTAGGTGCAACTAAATCACTTAAATTGACAGTAGGGTTATTCTCTTCATACTTTACTTTCTCTTTTTCTACTCTATTATCCTTAGATAAGTTTTTACTTGGTGTATTTTATGATTCTATTTTTTTCTGTGTGGTAGAAAACATATTCTAATGGAATCATACACAATACGATGAAGTAATTATGTATTTTTGTTCTATCAACGTCCCATAAAAGAACACAGTATGAAGTATGATTTGAGAAGTCTAAATATTTTACTAAACAAATAAACTGAAGCAAAACTATAAGAAGATTGTTGTATTATTAAGTACAGAGTAATGGACTGTTCTTTTTTCTAAGCAAACCGATTTGATAGTTGAAATCATGATTCAATTGAAGCTAGACCACCATGGAAGAAAACCTGGAAGCACTGGACGGCCGTTTCATCCTATTGTGGGACTCCTCAGCAGTGCGCATCCATGATTTGATTTACTACACGTCATTGTCTTTATTATAAACAATTTGATCGACCTAGATTAAATGAATTACAATAAATTTATTCACATTTGACTCGGAGCTTGTTCTTGGTAGATGTTGGTTATAATAGACTTATCAAAGTTTGTACTGTGATTCAGTTCCATAGTTGGTTATCATTTTTTCTCATTTGGTTAATCATAGATTAAGTCAAAGTCAATTATTTTTCAAGGGTTGCGGAATTGTCTATGTTTCAAAAGTCTTAAATGTCTCTCGTATTTTATGTATTGTCTCTATTCAAGTTTTTGATATTTTCTTAACGAAAATCATGTTTGCAGTTTTCCACATCTACTGATGTATACAAAGATATATCGGGATTTCAGAAAGCCGACTGATATTCACACATCTTCATCTCAAAATAATATGTATTTTCATCAATTCTTCGGATACTGGTTTTGAAGTTATATTATCTAAATCATTCATTGAACAATTTGATTGTCAAATTTCTAACATAAAGTTTATATTTTTTTACAAGGCTTATAACTTTAGTTAATAAGTATGTCTCATCGACTTTATGATTTCTTCCAAGGTACTTTTGCTCCAAAAAAACATTGAGAATCAGATAGGGATAACGTAAATCTTAGTCATTTTAACGGATTTAAGTTAGAAATTTGACCGACGAATATTCTTATTCTTATTTAAAACTCTGTATTCAAGTTCATTCATACTTATTTTATTACCCTACTGCTAATGACCATTGCTTTGAGACTGTTGGTTAGCTGCATATAGAATTTACCAACTTATTAAATACTCTGAAGTTTGCGATATAACTATTGAGAACAATGTTAGATTACGTTCTTATTTAACAACTCGTTGTTAATAGTATATCGATAAGTAGAGTAATTTAGGGCTTCATAAGTTCAATTGAATTACTTTTAGACTCAACGCCAAATTACAGTTAGTTCCGGATTTCTGAGGCCAATTAGTTGGTTTTTTAGATTCCTTTTCGTTTCTACTCAACTTTTTGTCTGAAAGGTGAAATGAAGTTTTGTGTTAAAGCAGTTGGTTAGTGTCTTGTTTAACAAGGTCATTGTTGTCCAGAATTACTGGTACAACATCTGATGATAAGAAAACTTCTTAAGTTAACCAATAGATTACTAAGCTCAAAACTTGATATGATTCGATGAACGGAATTACTTGCTCTATATTAAATATAGTGGATATTAAATTGGATAGTATATGCAGAATCGTGTCACATATTGACATTTTCTCAATGATTTTTTAACCAAACAATGTTTTAAAGTATTTGTATTAAAATCCTTTTAATATTCAAAAATGCGTTTCGTGCTTGTGCATTTGTTAGCATGCATCTTACTAACGTAATTAGTAAATGTCTGGTAATAAGTAGGCATTTGGACAGTTATATCTAAAGGTTTTTAATCTGACAGTTAGCACATACACTAATTAATCACTAAGTAAGTAGTAACGAATATTGGTTTTTCAATCCTTGGTGCTGATCGATTTCTATTAATCATATTCCAATCAAAACAATAATGTAGATGATTTGACTTGGCGATGTAGTCTGTTTTAATACTAATAAGCCAGCGACGATCAAAAAAGGCATCGATACTAGGTTTTGCGGCATATGACACTCGTTATAAAAACATATTTGGAATCTTTAGATAGCCAATAGTTTCCTTCAGGATTCGAACCTAAACCACTCTGTGACATAGTCAAGAACGTTATCACTAAGTAGTCGTTCGGCGTCCAACTAACCTCGTAGATGTTAAGCATTCATACTGGTAGATCACTGATCGATCGATACACATCTTTATTCTAAACATTGAACATCTGGCGTTTCGAGGCAATCAGAATTAGGCTCTCAATTTATTATTGTACTATGCTTTCTTATCATTTGTCAAATAAAACCTCTTTACTATCTTAAAATCATTATAGTTTTAAAATATGAACTCTTCTTATTCATTTCTCGGTTTTGTCAGTCTATCATGTCATCACGTAGAACTAACCAAACGATTTAGTCCTTTTTATATATTGATCAATTTTGACTTCGAATTTATTCCTCAAGTACAACCCATTATGTCCTATCAATTTATTTATTTTACAATAATATTAATCAGGTTCCGGATTATAATTTGGTATGAACAGTGGAGTAGAAACTATTAATTTGATAAACATACTCTTAGTTGTTTAGTCAGTCTCCACTTTTCGATCTGACCTTTTTATCCATAGAAATCAATAGAAAAAAATTACAATTTTTTTTATTATGCTAGATACTCTCGTTTTAGCTCTTAATTTTTGAGTGATTTACTAAATTCTGTAATGATACATTCCATAAGAAATATTTTTGTATACATTTAACCCAAGTTATTGGCATTCAAAACAATAAACTGAAAAATACTTCCTGAATAATAAAATATAAAAAAATTACAGCTTAAATAAATGATAAAAGGCATTTGCTTCGACTGTCAGTAGTTTTCTTAAGGGAACTTACTA